CAGGATGCTAGAGCCCTAGCTATGGCAGCATTGTTCCTGCCAGTAGGTAACAGAGCCCTAGCCATGGGAGACGCTGTCACTGCCAGGATGCTAGAGCCTTAGCATGGCTGCATTGTTCCTGCCAGTAGATGACAGAGCCCTAGCCACGGGAGACGCTGTCACTGCCAGGATGCTAGAGCCCTAGCTATGGCAGCATTGTTCCTGCCAGTAGGCGACAGAGCCCTAGACACAGGAGATGCTGTTATTGCCAATCTGAAACTAACCAACACGGAGTCTCGTACAAAGAAGCTGCAGCAGCCCTGGTAATGAGCAGGCTCCTGGGAGAAGCCAGGTGCCCAAGCCGACAGGACGGGGCTGCGCTTCTCCTGTCCACCTCCTTGCTGACCACATTCAGAAAAGGGAAGTGACGAGTAATCTCTCCTTTAAGTAGCCGCTTTGCCAAGGCTGTTCAATTCACTTCAGTTCCAAGCTGATGCCCTAACAGACGTCCCAGCAGCTGTCCTGTACAGGACAGACATTCATTATTCAAAATCATGGACTTTCAAAAACAAGAACCCGACCTTACAACACAGGCCCCGAAACCTCCCGAGAGGCGGCGGCAGAGAACACGTGGAAAGCTGGGTCTGCCACGGCGAGCTGGGCTGCCTTCTGTGTCCCGAGGCAGCCTGGGCCAGGCTAGCAGTCAGCAGCTTGCATGGGGCTGCATCAGCACAAGCGGGGTGCTAGCCGGCTGAGGCAGCTCCAGAGGTCCTACGCATAGCATTAGTTCAGCACATCAGACTCCATCTTGTGCTGAAGGAGACAGAGGCAGGCGGGACCGTGGGAAGTAGCTGCGGACAGTGGGGTCATGCTCCAGACTTCTCATGGTGGTGACAGCTGGAGGAAAAATGGCCAGAGGGACATGAGGAGCTCCAGACCTCCTGGGGTGCCCCAAGGGGCGCCTAGCCTGCCTGCTTTAGTACCCTCTCTTAAAGAGACCACCCACCAGCAAAGGATGTAAGGGGACGGACAATCCACAGGAGCCCATAGCCCTCTCCTATGGCCCCCCATCAAAGAACACAACATGTTCAGGAACCAGAAAAGAATCAAAAGGCCTGCTGTATGCCGAGCATGAATTCTATTCCATTTTGGAGCCAATCTGAAAATAATTTATTCTCATTTGGAACCCTCACGGGGACACAGCTGCAGAGGCACAATGGACAGGGCCCAGAACTGAAGGGAAGAGAAGGGGGCCGGGTTGTGTGTGGAAAATCAGGCAGGAATTCCAAGGACCCCACACTGCCCCTGGCCACAAAAGCCCATCTAATGATCACCGACATTGTCGCTACGAGGCTCCGTGGCTACAAATCACGGAACGCCACAACCTTGAAAGAATCTGAATCAAAATGGCGCCCGGGCCAGGCGGAGCTGCACAGGGGCCCACGCAGGCTACACGCAGCCGGTGACCAGCAATGACCTGCAGAAGAGCGGAAGCTGCAGGCCGGCCACACAGCAAGAGCGAGGGACACCAGAAGAAGGGCCCCAGGGCTACCTGGTGACCTGCCGAAAGCTCAGGGACCAGAAGCAAGCCTTTGGCATGCTGAAAAGGGACGGGGAAGGGAGTATATAATGCCTACTGTGTGCCAGGCACTGGGCTGAGCACCTTACAAATACGGTCTCATCTGATCCTCACAACCATCTTGGGAGGGAAGTGCTGTCATTATCCCCATTCTACAGAGGAGGAAACTGAGGCAGACGGTAGTGCACTGACTTACCCAGGGTCACACAGCTGGGCAGTGTCTGAAGACACATTTGAGTTCAGGTCTTCCTGACTCCAGGCCAGTGCTCACCTGGGCAGATGTTTCTCATAAAAATCACTGAAGGGCAAGAACAGGAGGCAATGTGGGGTGGTGGGAACGAGCCAAGGTTTGGAGTCTGAGGAGCTGGGTGGGAATCCCAGCCCTGCCCTTTACTCCTGTGGGACCAAAGGCCAGTCCCTTCATTTCTTTGGGTCTCGGTTTCCCTCTCTGTCAAAGTCAGGGTGGGATAGATTATCTCGGAGGTTCCCCTAGCACAGAGAGCACACTGAGAGCTGAGGAGGTCAGGGGTCCACGCACCGAGCACCACATGGGACAGATTCAGTTCAGAGGCAGTGACAGAGTGCAGGGAGGGACGGCTGTCTGTCACGGCATCAAGGGCAACTGTCAGCTCAACGAGCACTCAGTAAGCTTCTACTGCAGACAAGGTACGGGGCCGGGGCCAAGGACGCAAGGATACAAGCAGCTGCTACCCTCCGAGAGCTGACATTTGGGGAGAAAAAAGTCATCCGCAGAGAAGCAAACCAGGACAGGGTGACCTGGGGACATGGCAGAGCCCTCCAGGAGTCCAGGATTCTCCAGGGAAGGAGGGAGGAAGGCAGGAAGTCTAGGCCGGGGGGACAGCCAGTGTGGGCCAAGGCTTCACCTCCCGCCCAGGAAGGGTTCATACCGAGAGGATGCCAAGAGATGTCGCTGAAGAGGGAGAGAGTGAGATTGTGCATGCATGTGTGTGTGCTTAAGCGTGTGTGCGAGTGCATGGGGGTGCACGTGCGTGTATCTGAGCGAGGTGAGCAGGATGAGCCAGATCTCTGCTCCTGCCCCAATAATACAGCCTGGAGCCCAACAAACGCTGTCACTTGTGCTGGGGAGGTAACATGGGGGGTGGGGGGGGCATTTCTGGAGAAAAAAGTCAGCGCATCCAAAAGCACTTCAGTCACCCCTTCTGAGAAGCGTCCTCCTGGGCCGCAGGGCAGCACCTCGGGGCCTCCTGGCAGCAAGCGGCCCCTGGCCCCCCGTGTGTGGAGAGCAGCCTCCCACTGCGTGGGAGCCCTGGGCAAGGAGCTGCCAGGGAACGAGGAAAGAGTGTCCTGGGAGGGGAGAATGTCTGCTGGCGGACTGTGCTGCTATTTAAAGACATCCCAAAACACAGCCCAGATATACAATATCTTTTCTGTTGTGTTTATAAAAATTCTAATCACACGGGAAGGACTGTCCAGAAACTGCCTCGAGAGCATTTCCCTTTCAGCGAATACTGTATACTGACCTCTTTCTCAAGCCATAAACAAAGCCAGTGGGGTGGGGTGGGGGGTCTGTTTTTATCTAGGGAAGCCCCGAGCAAGCTGTGGGGCATCCTTACCTCGGCCTCCTTCTGCTGAAGGATCTGGTCCTTGTCTACCACCTCCTCCCGCTCCGGCCTGAAAGACACAAACACACGGCACGGCCTGGGTCAGATGCAGCCAGAAGGCTCTCAAGGAGGCTGGCCCCTTGGGCAGCACCCTCCGGTTCATCCTGTGCCTCAGGAAGCCAATAAAACCCCGCTTTGGTGCTCCTGGGACCACCTCTTTTCTTTCTTCCTCCAGTGGCTTTCAAAGCACTGACTCCTTTGTGGGGTGGGGGGGAGGGGGAAGAAAATGGAGGTCAGGGCATCCTGACCTGGACATTCCTTGTCAGGAGTAAGCAGTGGGCACTGGGCTGCTCCTTGGAGTCAGAGGCCCTGGGTTCAAATCCCTCTTCTAACACTAAGTGATTTGGACTATGTCATTATCCGCTTGGGATCTCAGTGTCCCCATGTGTAAACAGGAAAATAATTCCTGCCCTATCCCATTCTTGGGACTGCTGGGAGGAAAGGACTTTGTAAACCTTAAAGCTTTATATAAATGGGAATTTCATTCACCTTGATTTGTTTTTCAAGTGTATATCTACTGAAAATCAAATTGAACTTTTCTAAACAGCACAAAAATGTCCATTTTAGCGACCTGAGACAGAAAGAAGCCCCCAATAACACAGCCTGGAGCCCGAGAATTTCCCAAGCTCCAAGTCCTTGGGGGGAAGTCATTCCAGGCCAGAACAGAGCAGAAGGGAGCCAGAAGAACTCGGGTCAGACATGAGAGACCTTGGGCCAAGGGCCAAACCCGAGTGTGCAGAAAATACCCCGAGGGAGGAATCCAGCCCTGCAGAGGCCAGAGGAATAAAGGAGAGCAGCCCGCTCGGGCCCCGCGCTCTGCACCACGCTCCCCCAGCCCCACTCCAACCCTGCACCATCCTGCCGCTCCATGCTGGCAGCCAGGACCAAGGGACCGGACAACACTCACCGGCCGCTGCGTTTCAGCCTCTCTGAGCGGAAGTTCTCATAATGCAAATCCTGGGTCACTTCTTGTAGGTCCTGCATATGTGTCCTAAAAAGAGACCACGGCACACACTAGGTTAGTGCACTTTTCCTTCTTTTAGGTCAATACTGATTCGTCATTGTTTCTTCTCCAGAAGCTCTCTTTCCTTGATGAGTCCTTCCTACAGGCTGGCTGGACCCCATCACCACAAGCAAAAATACCAACTCAAGTACCATACCACACCTATCAGACTGGCCAACATGACAAAACAGGAAAATGATAAATGCTGGGGAAGATGTGGGAAAATCAGAACACTAATGCATTGGTGGTGGAGTTGTGAACCGACCCAACCATTTTGGAGAGCAATTTGGAACTATGCCCAAAGGGCTATAAAAATGGGCATACCCTTTGACCCAGCAATAGCACTTCTAGGTCTGTATCCCAAAGAGATCGTACAAATGGGAAAAAGACCCACATGTACAAGAATATTTACAGCAGCTCTTTTTATGGTGGCAAAGAATTGGAAATTGAGAGGATGCCCATCAACGGTGGTATGTGAATGTAATGGAATACTATTGTGCTATAAGAAATGATGAACAGGCTGACTTCAGAAAAACCTGGATAGACTTGTATGGACTGATGCTGAGTGAAGTGAGCAGAACCAGGAGAACGTTGTACACAGTAACAGCCTCATTGTGCGATGACTGACTTTGATAGACATAGCTCTTCTCAGCAATGCAAGGATCTAAGACATCTCCAAAAGACTTGTGATGGAAAATGCTATCCACATCCAGAGAAAGAACTATGGAGTCTGAATGCGGACAGAACATACTATTTTCACTTTTTTTTGTTGTTTTTTCTTTCTCGTGGTTTTTCCCTTTTGCTCTGATTCTTCTTTCACAACATGACTAATGTGGAAATATGTTTAATATGGTTGTACATGCATAACCCACATCAAATTGCATGCCATCCTGGGAGGGGGGAGGGGAGGAGAAGAAAGGGAGAAAAATTTAGAACTCAAAATCTTATAAAAGTGAATGTTGAAAACTAAAAATAAATTAACTAATTTAAAAAAAAATACCCACTCAAGCTTTGCCATTGATCACTGATTAACTAGCTGGTATCTGGACTGGATTTCCTGCTTTGGACTTCTTCTAATGGAATTACCCATCTCCCCAAATCCTCTTCAAATTCAGCAAATGTGATAACTTCCAACTATCCAGACCCAGGGCCAAGTACACTACCTGGCACACAGGAGGTGTTTAATAAATGTTCGACTGGCCAGAAAGTCTTAACTGTCCATATTTGTAACAGTTTGGCTTTTCTCAAGGTGGGGAAGACAGGGAAAAAATTCAGACCTCAAAGTAAAATTGGATTTGAAAAGAAAAAAACAAAACCCTAATGCCAGCTAGGCATCTAGCTACAGAGCCGCTCCAGGTGTGCCAAGGGCTTTAAACACAGCTCCTTATCCCAGCCTCTCGATAGGATTATGAAGTAGGGGCTATCGAGATCACTACGCTCAATTTACAGATGAGGAAACTGAGGCTCAGAGATGGGGCGTGTAACCAGTAAATGCGATGTGAAATGGGAATCTAAGTTTCTCCTCCAATTATCACCCTCAAGAAACAAAAAACCACACACCCATTTTATTGATGAACTTTATCTTTACATCAGAGTAATTTCATCAACTCACTTCACCCCAAACTAAACTCTCTGTGACAAAGGCAATTAAGTAAAAACAAATGATACTGTGACCATCTCTGAAAACATAGTCACTACTGCCTCAGTCTCTCTGGCCTGAGGGAGGAGGGATGCTTCATTACCTTTTCTCCAGGGCCTTCACTGGTTTTTACATTATTATGAGGACAGAGTGGATACAGCGCTGGGCCTGGAGTCAGGAAGAGCCGAGTTCAAATCTGCACTCAGATACTTCTTGGCTGTGTGACCCTGGGCAAGTCACTGCACCACATCTGCCTCGGTTTCCTCATCCGCAAAATGGGACTCATAACAGCATGTTCCTTCCAGGGTTGTCGTCAGGACCACGTAAGTTAATAATTGTAGAGCGCACTGCAATCTTTAACACACCATGTCAGTGCTGGCTGCTACTATGTTATTAGCTGTTTCTCGTCACTGATCTTTCATTAATATTGCTTTATAGGTCATTGCGCAGTCAGCGTCTCTTGGTTCTACTGATCTGATTCCATATCAGTTCACGTAAATCTTCCCATGTTTCTCTGAATTTCTGACATTTATCATTTTTTATTGCACACTAATGTCCCATAATTTGTCAGACATCTTCCATTTGAGGAGGGGAGGGAAGGAACAGCCATTTATTAAGCACCTACTACGTGCCAGGCACTGCTGCGCTGAGAGCTTTACGATTATTATCTCATTTGATCTTCACAACAACCCTGTGAAAAAGGCATTATTATTCCCATTTTACAGCTGAGGAAACTTCTGAGCTAAGGGCCATACAGCTAGCACGAGTCTCAGGCTGGATCTGAGCTCAAGTCTTTCTGACTCCAAGCCCAGCACTCTATGCCCTCTGGCACCATCAAGTGATGTCCTGAGTCACTAACATAAACATAAAAAGCACTACCTGCTATAAAAGTTTTCAGATATAATGGAGCTTTGTTTCTGTCTTTTCATTTCCTTGGGGTATACGTCTAATAATAGCATCCCTGAGTCACAGTTCCTGGACAGTACAGTAGTTTTTCCTGCATAATTCTGAAAAGATATTCAGAATGATTGGACCATTTCACAGTTCCACCAACAATGCATCAGTGTACCTGTGTTCACACATCTTCTCCAACACTGACTGTTTATCTTTTCCCACTCTTGCCAATTTACATAAAGTGAAACAAAATTCTGTAGACTTTCATTTGAATATTTCCTACTATTAGTGATGTGGAACATTTTTTCATGTAGTCATTTTACAGCATTCTTTTTTTTTTTTAAGGTAATTGGGGTTAAGTGACTTGCCCAGGGTCACATGGCTAGTAAGTGTCAAGTGTCTGGTCTCAGGCCAGATTTGAACTCAGGTCCTCCTGACTCCAGGGCCAGTGCTCTATCCACTGCATCACCTAGCTGCCCTCGTGTAGTCATTTAAAAAAAAGAAAAACAAAACACTATTTGCTCATATCCTTTGATCACTTATGGGGAAATGGTTCTTAGTGTTATATGTTTGTGTAAATTCCCTATATGTTTGATTTTTTTTTAAATTCATACATTCATGTTTAGAATTGGACTAGAGACTTAGTTAAGAAAAAAAAGAAAAACATCAGAAGAAAAGGAAAATAGTCCACGATACAGAGTTCTGTACAGAAGAGGGAAGAGATAGAGGACAGGTCATGAGGAGGGCAGAAAGACACACACATACACACCACACCACACACACACTCCACCACACACACACCACACACACACACACTACATCACACACACACATCACACACACCACACACACACATCACACACACCACACACACATCACATACACACACACCACACCACACGCACACAACACACCACACACACAGACATACACACCACACACACACACACCACACACACATCACACACACCACACACACACCACACCACACACACACACCACACCACACCACACACACACACCACACGCACCCCCCACACACCCCCCACACACCCACCACATCACACACACACACCACACCACACCACACACACACCACACACACACACACGACGAAGGAAAGGGAGGCTGGGCAGCCAGGGTCAGGGCCCCTGGCTGGTCATCGGCTTCACGGAGGTCTCTGGCAGGCCCTATTTAAAGGCTGCGGGGTTTGTCCAGGGCTCAGCAGTGTATCGGCTCCAGGGACAGCCCGGGTCTTCGATCTTCACACGCTGTCCCAGCTGCGGCCCGCACGGTCCCGACCCACCCGAACGCACTGGCTGAGCGCGGGAAGGCAGAGACTCCTCCGCCTCCAGACACCCTTGGAGTCGGCAGTTCCCGTCGTGACCTCTCGCCCGAGGATCCACGGGCGTCCCAGGCACGGCCCCTCACGGGAGGCGGCAGCAGCAGCACTGGCAGCTCCCGGGTCGCGGCGCTGGGAGGCCTCGGGGGACAGGAGACAGAGGAAGAGGAATTCCCCGGGCAGCCAATGTGGGGGTCCTCCCCACCACACTTTGACCGCCTTCGACATCCATGCGATGACTTTTCCCGCTCTGCGTTTTCTCTTCTGGCTCGTTCCAGCTCCCTTCCCACGACCCCACGTGGCTTCGCTCATGCGCCCCAGGGAGCGCTGTCCCCTTGTAACCCAGCTGGCTGCCCCCGTACAAAGCGGGGGGCCCCGACCCTGCCTTTGGAGATGCCGTCAAAGCTGACGGCACATTCTTCCAAATGAAGAGCTTCACAGAATAAATGCCACGCCAGCCCCGCTGGAGGGCTCTCCTGCCCGCACCACCCAGGCCTCTGTGGCCCGCTGCCCTCCCCCTCCAGCGGTCTCTGCACACAGCAGAGGGCTGTGAACCACCTTCCCTTAAGCTGGACTGTAAGGCTGCCTCTGCTCCACCCCCAAGCTGTGATGGGGGCGCTTCTCAGCATCCCTCCGAGGCCCCCCCAATGCGGTCTACACATTAGAATTTGTACAACAGTTACCCGCGTACCCATCCTGTCCCTCACACTACATTCCCAGCTTCCTGAGAGAACTCTCAAAGGCAGCTCTGCCTAGTGTGAAGAGAGCCGCACCTACCCAGCATTCATTTCACACCCACAAACCCTCAGTGTCCCCCAAGACTCTGCCCAGGGCCCTTTCTCTTCTACCTCTGTCCTATCTCACTCGGTGACCTCAGCAGCTCCTTGCCCTCAACCACCGTCTCTGTGCAAATGACTCCAGCCTCGGTCTCCCATGGGAGCTGCAGTCCTGAGTGACATCTAACCCACAGACATTTATACGAGCCTCCTACGGGCCAAGCACTGGGGATACAGCTAATAGAAGAAAGGCAGCTCCTGCTCTCCACAAAGGAAGGCACTGGGAGGAGTCTGGTCCTCTCCAGTCAGAGGGGAGCCAATCGAGGCTGGCATAAGGAGTACGGGGACAAGATCAGAAGCGATGACTTTATCCCGGGAGTTGAAACCAGGCAGGGCAGCAGGTGCCACCTCGAGCGAGGATCCCACGTCAGATACCCCAGAGACCACAGTGGCAAACTCCTAGTTAAGTCAGTCCCAAACCCCAATTAAAACGTAATCGGGAAATGTTTGAAAATAAATAATGAGAATCGGTGCTTTGCTAAGTCAACGAGTGGCTTGCAAGGATCCATTTCTACTCAGCCTGCCACCCTGCCCCAGACCCTCTCCTTAGCTTTCCCCAAAAGCCTCTTCCCAACTTTCCTGTGGCTGTGGAAGACGCCGCCATTTTCCGTTACTCTGGCCTGAGAGCTCAGGGTCAACCCCCTTCCTCACTCAAACTCACCCCACGTGTCTACTCTGCTGCCCAATCTTGCCCCACCCCTCTTCCCAGCATCCCTCTGCTCACACAGCCATCATCCCAGTCGGGCCTTCGTCACACCTCACTCAGCCTATGGCAAGGCTCCTGCTTGGTGAACCTCCCACTCCAGCCCAAGGTGATTTTCCTAAAGGTGACGTGGGGGACCACGTCCCCATCTCCCTTCCACCCCCGCCCACATCCTCTACAATCCAGCCATGCTCGGCTCCATGTGGTTTCCCACACACCACACTCTATCTCCCAACCTGCACCTTTGCACATACCCGCACCTTCTTAAGATTCAGCTCAAACCCCACTTTCTGCAGAAGGCTTTTCCTGATCCCAGTAGGAAATACTGTTCAAGAACTGGAAAGAGCCATGAGGGGGAAGCCAGTGGCACCAATGACTTCTACCAGACTGCGGGCCTCTCAAGAACTCTTGTCTGCAACTCCCAGCCTTGGGCGTGGCTGCTGGGCTTGGAGCAGTGAACGGGACAGGACACAGCGCTGGGCCCAGAGGGAGGGAGAAGTGGCAGGAAGCAGGTTCCAGAGACCAGGGGTCTGAGTCAGTTCTGCTTTCCTCCATCGGGCCCTCCGTCCAATACTGCTGGGCCAGCAACAGGGCGGCAATCAAGCGGCACCCCCCACTGAGGCTGGCACCGCTACAGAGGGCACTCTGAATCAGGGTCTGAAAATGGCATCTGAAGACAACCTGGCTCCTCCACCAGACAACAGATGCTGACAGGGCGCCACTCGACCGGAGCCCCTCAGCAGCGCCTCTCTCCTCCTGGGCCGGAGTCCTGCTGGGGTCTCAGCTACTCCAGGCTGCTGTTGGGTCAACATTCGACTCCTACCCCCATCTAGCAGGCCAGTGAAGGTGGTCCCAGTGTGGGAGGTGTGGGGTATGGGGAGTCTCACTAACACCAGTCAAACAACTGGGCAAAGGTGACTCTGACCAGACCAGCGTCTCTTGGGGTCTTCAGAAGCCCCGCTGGTGCTCCCCAAACACAGTGGTCCAGATTCTGAGCATCTCCAGCAGCTTCTTCTCAGGGATTCAGAGTGGCGTTCGTCCTTTATTTTTGAAGACCAATGACATCACGCTTGCCTCACGTGTGACCTGGATTTAAGTGAGGCAGAGCTGCACAAAGTCATCAGCCTCACTCTCTCTTCCAGTGGTGAGACAAAAATCAGGACGACTGGGGAGGGCCCGGACGCAGCGGGTGACCTCGGCGTCTTTGAGGTCTGTCCAAGCTCTGAGCGCTCCACGGTGCCTGCTTCGGCCGCCGTCATGGCCCATTCCACGGGGCAAAGTCTCCACATGCTTGGGGCAGACATGCCCTTAACTCACCGACAGGTCTGAGGCCTGCTGATTGCCTCAACCTGGTTCAGTTCATCTGCTGAGACTTAGGGCGGGGGCGGGGGCGGGGGAGAGCCACTGCACATGTTCCAGTTTCTTGGAACCACAGGTGAGAGTTGGGTGACAGATGAGCAGCCTTCCTATGAGAGGTGCTGGTCTTCCCTGAACCCCCTGCACCCCATCATCTTGTGGCCAGCAGACCTGAGGTCCATCCTCAAAGTCATTAAACTAGACATTTTTGAGGTTAACAACCTTGCTAAGACCTTACAGACATGGTTTTGGGTGGAGTGAGGCGATTCCCCTTTGGAGCACACACAACATTTCCAGTAACCACTAAACATGCCCCTCCCCGGGTCCTCCAGGAGAAAGTGTCTCCCTTGAGAAGACGTCACTCTAGGCTCTCGCGTGAGTGCTGGATCCAAAGTGACATCACCTTACCACCGGCAGGAACCTTAAGGGGCACTGAGCTCAACTTGTACCTCCACCAAAATCGCCTCTAACACAGCCCTTGCTGGGTCATCCAGCTCTGCTCAAAGCCCTGACCACTTCTCAGGGCAGCCAACTCCATATAGAGACGGCTCTTTCTCTATAATTTCTCCCACACTGCCACTCCTTGTTCAGTTCTCTGTCACCAAGCAGAGTAAATCAATACAATCTCTCTTCCAAATGATCGTCCCTCAAAATTCTTTAAGACATCTCTTATAACTCAAACACCCTTATCTCCCTCAGCGGCTCTCCTATGGTGCAGTCTCAAGGCGCCAGCCCCTTCTCGCCATCATTCTCCCTCTGGACGCCCTTCAGCTTGTCGAGGCCAAGAATGGACTAGACTTGGCTCAGAGAGTTGCAGCTGGGAGGGAGCTCACAGGCTCTTGGGTCCAAGCCTCTCATTCGATACATGAGGAAACCGAAACGGCTTTTAAAGTCTCCCCTAGCTCTGACGATCTAAGAATAAGAAGTCCCCTAGGACACTGTTTCGCACAAAATACACATGAAGCAAGAAGCCAGTGGATCCGAAGCTCCCTGAGGGCAGGGGCGGCTTGTCTTCTCTCTCTCTCCCCAGCAACTCGAATAGAGCCTGGCTACCGGGTATGCTTGGCGTCCTCCCTCCCTGGCAGTCTCTGAGCAAAGCTTGCCAAGCGTGCAGTCGTGGGGATCGTTGGGGGGATGGGTCTGGACCACAGAGCCCCTGGGGTCCCTCTTCTGGGGCTCCACCCTGGCTCTGCCACCTTATGGGCAGGTGATATGGCCATTCTGTAAGTTTAATGGCCTCTTCTGTCGAACAAAGATAATAATTCTCAAGCTACCTGTCTCGTAAGGTTTTGAGGAAAACACTTTATAAAGCCCAAAGCACTGGAGAACTGAGTTATTATTGTCACTTGCTAAGTGTTTAGACATAAATTTCTCATAAAGAGTTCTGAGGAAAGTATAAATTAAGCATACACGTATGTGCTTTCAACGAATGCACACACTCACTAAGCATCTACTGAGTGTAACACACCGGAAATGTAAACAGGTAATCAGCCTTCTGAAAAACGGTATTTCCTCACATTGTGACGTCAACCGTGAAACATGGCACAAGAGGAGAGAATCAGGGGATTTCGGTTTAGAAGGGACTGTCCAGCATCCTCGTTTTCAGATGGATGCACAGCCAGGATCCCATCCCTGTAGCATAGCAAGCAGAGAACTGGAATCAGAGCCTGACTCTGGCACTTACTGGCTCCTTCACCTCTTGGTGCCTTAGTTTCCCTTGCTGGAAAGTGAGGACCGCATGGACCCTCAACCATCTTTCAAGGACAGGAAGGGGTTGTTAGTAACAGCAGCTGGCTCTGTCCTTAGGCCATCACTAGAGGGCAGCCGAGGGTCACTAATAGTTTCCAGAAGCACCAGGGCGTGTTCCTTTCCCACCCTCTCAAGCAAGGTCAAGGACAAAGTGTGGATTCCCAAGCTTTTCCACTCAGGCAGGTGGAAATGTAGTCAGACCAAAGGAGAAAATGCCCAGAGTTGAACTTCAAGGGAGAGGGGCACCTCCCCTTCCGCCCACGGCCTTGGTCTTCTTGGGAATCAAACAGCTTCGGCCCTGGCGTCTTCGATGTCTGACCGAGCTCTGAGCGCCGGTGCCCAACAGCTCCTTCAGTATGGTCATGTCCATGGAGAGATAGCAGATCATCTCACCAAAGCCCCTTCCTTGTCCAGAAGAGGAAACCGAAGCCCCAGGATGGGGCCGGGTCCGAGGCCACTTCTGCTCGCCACGCTGGCGACATACTGGACACGCTGGACACTTATACTTAATGAAGCTGTGATACTTAACGTTTGGCCTCCTGAAGAGTTACAATAGAGCCCAAGCGTCCATCAGCACACACATCCTCTTAGCAATCAACGCCTGGAAAGGCCTTCTGCTTCTCAGAAGAGATGCTCACTGTCCTCTTCTAGAAAGTGCTCTCACAACTCCAAAGGCCTCGTGATGGAAAATGCTGTCCACATCCAGAGAAAGAACTGACAGTCTGAATGTGGATCGCAGCACGCTCTTTCCACTCTTTTTTCTTTTTTCATGTTTTTTCTGTTTCTTTTTTCACAACATGACTAATGTGGAAATACCCGACTGCACATGTATAACCCATATCAGATTGCTCACCTTCTTAGGGAAGGGGGATGGGAGGGAGGGAGAAAAATCTGGAACTCAAAATCTTTCAAAAAATGAATATGGAAATTTATCCTTACATGTAACTGGAAAAAACAAAATACTATTACATTCTTAAAAAGTGTTCTCAGAGCCACACCCTCATCTGTGCCCCCTCTTATCCTCCTACCCTGTCCCCCCTCCCCAACTCACTGCATCGCCTTCCTTCTTTGGTCTCTGTCCTGGCATCTCCTCTCACTAGGAACAACATTACCTTGACATCCACCAGTGGGGGCCCCCAATAATACCGAGTGAAATGGACATCCTCACAGGAAACCCCAGCCCTGCTGTCCCCCCAGAATCAATGCCACCTCCTGCTTACAGCCATTTTATTACATCTAAGTAGAGTTGGCCTTACTTGTTTTTTCCTGTAATTAAGTGACTTTCCATCTTATGCGTTTGGAAGGAAAAAAAGCCCACAAAACGTCACACACACACACAAAAAAAAGGCCTAATGTTTCAAAGGCCACTCAGAGAAAATGTTTGCCCACCCAGTTAGTCCACAAAAACTAAACCAGGGGCAGTCTTACTTACACCAACATAGTCCGCAACTTTAGGAAATCATTGTGTTCCGGATTCTCAACCTCAACCACACCCCAAGGGTAAAGGCGGCCTCTGATCTTTTTTCCTTTGACCTCAATGAGTTGGTTAGAACCGATAACAGAGAATGGTATGCTGGCCTAAATGAAGAGAGGGAGAAAGGGAAAAACACAAATGAGTTGTCAGAAGTCTTCCGTGCTCAGGGTACTAGCATCTAGCAGAATGAGGCGCTGGGCCTCAAAGTCTTCAGAGTTAGAAGGGACCTGAAAGATGGTCCAGCACAGCAGTGTCAAACTCAAATAGAAATGGCGGCCCCTCCACCGTACACAGGATCCCTGCAGGCCGCATCTCGACTCTGCTAAAATGGAACGTTATCTATTGTGTTAAATGTTTCCCGACGCTATTTTCATCTGGCTCAGGCCGCACTCAGGAATGCTGTAGGCCACAGGCTGCACGTTGGACACCTCTGATCTGGCCCAATTCCTTTCCTTTCCTTTCCAGAGGAAGAAAGTAAGGCCCAGGGAAGGCAAAGGACTTGCCCAGGGTCACCAAGACAGGATTCAAGGGCAGGTCTCTGGATTCCAAATCCAAATGTCCTTCCACTAAAACTAAAAGATATAGTGGGGGGCAGCTAGGTGGTGCAGTGGATAGAGCACCAGCCCTGGAGTTAGGAGGACCTGAGTTCAAATCTAGCCTCAGACACGTAACACTTAACTAGCTGTGTAGCTGTGTGACTCTGGGCAAGTCACTTAACCCCAACTGCCTCACCAAAAAAAAAGATAGTTGTAAATTTCAACTTTTATAAAACTTGAGTTATTTTAAAATAAGAATTATGTTGGTAAATTTCCATTTTAAAATAGAAAAACATTAGATAGTACACAAAAAAATAGTAGAAACTCTAAAAACAGCTTTAATATAGTAACGCACTGCCCCATCAGGAAAGCCCAGTGAAAATCTACAAGCTTACAAAGAGCAGAGCCACACGCGGGGTCCCAGATGGGTAAGGAACAGCAGGGACAGACGAATGTCACTAAATTTTAGAACGGAGATAGCTAAGTGGCACAGTGGATAGAGCGCCAGGCCTGGAGTCAGGAAGACTCATCTTCTTGAGTTCAAATCTGGCCTCAGAGAATTACTAGCTGAGTGACCCTGGGCAAGTCACTTCACCCTACTTGCCCCAATTTCCTCATCTATAAAATGAGCCGGAGAAGGATGTGGCAAATCACTCCAGTATCTTTGCCAAGTAAACCCCAAATGAGATCACAAAGAGCTGGACACAACTAAAACGAAAGGGAAAAAAAATGAGAATATTATGAGAGAACACCAGGAGGTGAGAAGGCAGCAAATGCCCGATCAGTACCCATAGTTCCAGCCGGATGCTACAGATGGAGAGAACACTGGACTGGAAAACTGTGGTCCTTCCATGATTCCAAGCTGTTCTCCAGCACACGTATTCAAGGAGGCTAGATTCAGGGCTGGCTTGGGCCTCAACCCCCTCATTTTGTAGAGCAGGAAGCAGGGGCCCAGAGAGGGGAAGAACCACCCAAGACCACACAGAGAGGCATGAGGTGGCGGGGCTGACACGAGCCCAGGATTCTCTGCCTGCCGCCGGCTGCCATCTTTCTTGCCTCGACACAGAGTGCCATCTACACGCAGGGCCCTGTGCTGGGCGCTGGGGAGACGGCGAGAAGGAAAGGGTCCCTGTCCTCGAGGAGCTCACGTCCCCATGGGGACAGCCACAAGTGTTTGCTGGGCAGGAGGGAGAGAAGGCCAACGATGCCGAGGGGGGAGGAAGGGAGTGAGGAAGGCAGGGAGGGAGTCCGCCGACCACAAAGGGGAGAAGGGGCGGCCGGCGAAAGGACGTAGAAGCAGCACGTGCGACATCACGCTCGGGCAGCAGCTGCACGGAGGACAGTAACAGGAAACGAGTCACAGGCAGCAGGAACACAGAGTCAGAGCTGGGAAGGAACTGAGTTCAACCTCCTTTTACAGAACAGCAAACTGAGGCACAGAGAAGTGACTTGTCCGGGGTCACACAGAAAGTAAGTGTCCGGGGCAGGATTTGAACCAAGGTGTCTGACTGCCCCCACCCACAACGCTCTGCCTCTAAAGTGTGGACAGTGGGCTGGGGTCAGGTTGCAGGGGCTTGAAATGAGGTGGAGGGGTCTGCTTCTGAAGAGCCTCTGAAAAATCAAGCCTTGGGAAGATGATTTTGGCAGCCGAGCGGAGGACAGAATGGGGCCGGAGAGACGAGGGGCCGGGTCCTCGTAGGCAGCTGCTACAGCAGGCCAGGCAAGATGGCACAAAGGCCTGAATTCATTAAAGGGTGCCACATAAGGGGGAGGGGAAAGGGATGGACACGTGAGATACGACCGAGACAGAACTGACAAGACCATGGGGAACAGGGGGCGGGAAAGAGAGAAGGATAACAAACCTGAATGACTGGAAAGCTGGTCTCCCCAAAAGAAACGAGGCAGCGGGGTGGCGCGGAGGGCACAGCACCGGCCTGGAGTCAGGAAGACCCGAGTTCAAATCTAGCCTCAGGCCCTTCCAAGTACCGTACTGACCCTGGGCAAGTCATTTCACCTGTTTGTCTCAGTTTCCTGATCTGCAAATTGGGGATGATAATAGCACCCACATCATAGAGTTGTGAGGATAAAGTGAGATACTTGTAAAGCACTTTGCAAAGCCTTAAGTACTGCATAAATGGGAATTATTATTATAATTAATAATAATAAACAGAAAAATTTATGAGAAGGGCAGGTTTCAGGGGGAAGGCAATTGTTTTTGTTTCGCACATGTTGCATTTAAGATGCCAAGAGGAAATCCAGGCAGCCCAGTCCAAGAGGCAGACGGTAATAAAATAATAAACTGGATTTCAGGAGGAATTTCTGAACTGGGAAATGACACATATAAAGACGACAAATTATACACGTGGGCATATGACAAACAAGTTCCTTATGAGAGATCACAAGATGAACAAGAGAACAAATGTAAAGAAAGGAGCAAAAAGGACTCAAGAGAGAGACGTGGGAGTCGGATCCCTGTCAGAGCAGCAGAATAAAGACAATCCGACAAACCCAAACAGCCAACAAGCATTTATGAAGCGCCTACTGTATGCTAAGTGCTGGGGCTGATAAAGGAAAGCGAACCAGTCCAAAGGAGACCGAGAAGGAGAGTCAGAAGAGGGGAGCGCTGAGAGAGAGCAGGGCCAGATGCGAGGTCATGAGTCAACAGCTGATGCCATCCCGGGCACAGCTTCCAGGAATAAGGAGGTGCCCCGGGCAGACCCTATTCAAGGCACCGCGTTTAGGAAGGACACAGCTAAGCTGAAAGGCATTTTAAGTGCTCGCTGTGTGCCAGGCACTGGGCTAATCACTAGGAATACAGAGAAAGGAAAAAGCAGTCGCCGCCCTCCCGGGCTCGCAACTCTAACAGAAAACAAGTCTACACAAACGAGATCTAGACAAAGGGTCTTAACCTCTGCGGGACCCCTTGGGCAGTCCAACTGGTGCAGCCTATGCACTTCTCAGAATCAGGTTTTTAAATGCAAACCATAAAAATACCCAGGATTATCAAGGAAACTGACTATACTGAAATATGATTATCAAAATATTTCATTTAAAACAAGTTCACAGGCCCCAGGCTGAGAAGCCCTGAAACTGAGGTGGCACAGCCAGGGTGGCGAGTAAAGGCAAGGCGACCAAGGGCTGCATATGTTTTAGGTATAGAGTGGACAGGAAGAGGTTTACCGAGGCTCCTGCCCGCTTGGAGAGCCTGTGGAACCAGGCAGAGAGAGCGTCCGGGGGAGGGGACAGCCAACGGTGTCAAAAGCTTTAGAGGTCGAACAGGATGAGGAATGAGAGAAAGCCGGTGGATAGAGCAGTGAAGGGATCATTTCAGCCAAGGGTTGAGGTCAGAAGGCCCCGAGAAAAGGGCTGAGAAGTGAGTGGGAGGGAAGGACACGTATGCGTAACCTAACAGTTCAGCTCGGAGAGGGAAAAGAAACTCGGCACGATGGGCTGAGGAAATGGCTAGGTCAAGGGAAGACTTTGTAAGGATGAAGACACGCGGTCCTCTCAACATCCTGATTATTGTGGAAGGCACTACCGCTCCTCCAGGTTTGCAAGCAAGGTTCTCCCCTCTAACTGACCCCGCTTCCTCCCCCGCTGGCACCAAGGACGCGCCAGCTCCTACCCACTCCTCATCCTCAACATCTCTCATCTGTCTCTTCTGCAGCATCGCTATCTGAGCTGTCCTCACCTTTCACTTGAACTATTTGAAAAGCCAGATCCAACGGTCCCCTCCACCATCCACCTCCCACACGGCTACCAAAGGGATGCTCCTAGCTCATCAGTCAGACCCACCCCCCGACCACGGCAGTCCTCTGCTCGAGAAGCTACAGCTGATACCCAGGGACACTGGGATAAAACACAAACTGTCTACTGGGCCTGTAAAGCCCTTTGCCATTTGGCTGACCAAAGGGCTGACCTCTCCAGGCTGATGACACATTACTTCCCTTTACATCAATCGACAAACATTTATTAAGTGCCTGCTGTGTGCCAGGTACTGTGCCATGTGCTGGGGATACAAAAAAGAGACAAAAGGCAGTCCCTGCCCTCAAGGAGCTCACAACCTAACAGGGACAACACGCAAGCAAATATATACACAGGAAGCTGGATAC